GATGACCACCAAGCCGTGACCAGAATCTTTTTTTCGTGAGGGTTCGGCTTTGAAAATTACCTCGGTGGTTCGTCGAAATCCAACCACTGTCCGGAACGTCTCCTGTTATCATACATGACCCATTTTTCATCACAGGTGAAATTCGGCCCAAAAACAGGTCGTTTCTGCTGCGCAAAAGCAATGCAGAAGGAACCTCGAGACGTGCCGATTCCTGCCGGTCACTCCGATTGTGGGGCACCCAATTGTCGAGTTTTTTCACCTTCCCAATGCGTTCCAGACCATCTGCAACAGTGGATTTGCCAAGGCCTAGCTCTTCTGCTATCTCTCGAACTGTTTGGGATGGGTCAGCCTCCAAAATCCCCCTAAAATCCTCGTCAGATATTTAGGTCGACCGCTATGAGGTTCATCTTCAAGGCTGAAATCTCCAGAACGAAATTTGTTGAGCCATTGCCGCACAGTGCTTTCTCTAGCACTATTGGGCCCCCACACCTGGTTAATTTGTTGAGCTGTTTCGATTGCGGATTGCCCCAATTTATAGTCGAAGAAAAAAATCGTCCGAAGTGCTCTTTTCACATGCTTGAAAAAATCTTGAAAAAAGGGGTTTATCAAGCAATGGTGAAACGGCAATTATACCATCAGATAGCGCAAGAAATTCTCTACAGGATGTGCTACTGAGAAGCAAGGCAGAATGAGTTTTTAATCAGCAGTGAATGTACAAAAAATAGGTGCACAAAACGCTGAGAACTTTCCGGACAACCTAATACACTGCGTTCACTATGTGCGAGAGAACCACTGGAATTGTTAGTGGTGAGTGTCAAAAAACCTACATGCAGGCTACAGCATGTCGGCGCCGATGGCGCGCATCGCAGGAACTTTCACGCCTATTGTCACGGCATTAGTGGCCAAGGGCCGGCAATCGTCTATGATATAGGCTCAGCGTTTCAATGGATATCGACTGCGTAGATAACACCACCCACAAATAGGCCTTCGGTCTAACGACTTTTGTGCTCCAGCCGCTAAAAAAGCCTGCTTCGCTTACGCTTGCATTTTTCTGTTTCCCGTTTCTATGGACCTCTTCAACTCCCTAACCCCTCTTTTATCCTAACATGCTCCGAAAGCACTAATCTGAGTTCATTTATTAGAGTGTCCGGAAAGTCTTGAAATTTTCAATCAGATTATTCGGAACAAAAACAATAACAGATAAGAATAGCGGGCGCCAGTAACGTCTCCATTCGTCCCTGCAACGTGCAAGAGTTGCCCAATGGACTCTCTTGCTCGAGGGACACGATGAACTTCATACCATTCGTTCAGAGCTTTCACGAAGAAGTCTGACCATCGCATAGGCGGTCGTCCAGGCGTTCGCTTGACATCCCGTGGAATCCAGTCGGTGATCGCTCTGGTCCAGCGGTCGTCCTCGAAACGCATGACGTGTCCGGCCCACCTGATCTTCGAAACCTTGGCAAATGCGGCGGCGTCTCGATCGTCGGCGGAGTGCGGAGCTCCGGATTCCCTCTCTCACTTGCGTGTAGCGGGAAACTCCGAGCATCGCCCTTTCGATGGCGCGTTGAATAACGCCGACCGCATGCTCATCCTGCTTTCGTAGAGTCCAAGTCTCTGAGGCGTACGTCAAGGCAGGAAGGACCGCGGAATCGAAGAGGTGGGCACGGAGCTTGGTGTTCTTCGTCTTCTTCGCTACTCCCTCGATGTTCTTGAAGGCTCCCCAAGCCGCTCGCTTCCTCCTGCTCAGCTCTGGAGCTAAGTCATTCATCATATTGATTTCACGACCCAGGTACACATAGCTAGAGCATTCAGAGATGGTCGTTCCGTTGAGCGTGAATGGGGCATCAGAAACCAATCCGTTTCTCATGAACATCGTCTTCGTTAGATTCAGCCGTAGACCGATTTTTCCACACGCGCAGTCGAAATCAGCCAGCATTCGTTCCGCTTGCTCGATGTTTGGTGTTATCAAAACGATGTCGTCAGCAAAGCGGAGATGGTGTAGTTGCCGACCGTCGATCTTCACTCCCATGTCTTCCCATTCCAGTTGACGCATGACGTTCTCGAGAGAGGCGCTGAAGAGCTTGGGCGAGATGGTGTCCCCTGTCGGACCCCTCTCTTCACATCGATGATGATCTCCTTGTAGAATGGTGAGATCTTGGTCGTGAAGTTGCTGTAGAGCTCACGAAGAATCCTGATGTACTGAGTAGGAATACCCTGGTTGCCCAGGGCTTCGATAACGGAGTCGAAGGCTTTCTTCAAGTCGATGAACGTGAGACATAGCGGCATCTTGTACTCTCGCGATACTTCGATGAGCTTCGTTACCGTGTGGATGTGATCGATCGTGCTGAATCCTCTTCGAAACCCTGCTTGCTCGCATGGCTGTCCTTCGTCTAGTGTTCTGCCAATCCTGTTCAGGATGACTCGTGTGAAGAGTTTGTAGACTACAGACAGCAGGCAGATTGGGCGATAATTGCCAATGTCGTACAGGTCTCCCTTCTTGTACAGCAACACAGTCTTGCTGGTTTTCCACGAGGTGGGTACCTTGCATTCCGACAGGTAGCGCGTGAAGAGTCGAGCCAAGGTTTGACAAGAATTGGCCTCCACGCCCATCGTGCCGCCCTGATACAACCCTACTGATTACCATCTGCGTTCTGAGATCTGTATCCTGCGAAGAAGAAATCCGAGCCTCGAAAGAACCTTTGGAATGACATAAAAAACTTTTAAGCACGGAACCGCGAAGCCTCTGGAAGTGATGCATCCACACGCTCGGTCGTTAGCAATAAGTGATTTAGATGGTACATATATTGGTGACTAATAATGACTGCTGATGAAATGCACTCGACTCAGAAAAAGAGTTGAAGAACAACAGGAACTTCAAGAAATCTTCATAAGTAAACCAAAGGATCTTTAATTACTATTCTAATGGCCGATGATATGTCGTTCCAAGATTATGCCCGCTTTCATATGCGGCATATAACAAGAAGATCCGGCAAAGTTTATTCCGAATGATCAGCAATACCTAGCATGCAAGCCAAGGCTCTATACTGCCGATTTGCACCATTTTTGAAAAGTGGGCGGGGCTTCTTCAAAGTGGGCGGAGCCTCTCACAGTGGGCGGGGCTTCACGCAGCAGCCCTAAAATGCAAAAATTTTGAAAAATATCGAAAGTCCGCGAAAAGCAAGTGGGCATGGGCTCGTAGTGATGTCCGGCGTGATCTGCTTGATGAGTTGCCCGCCCTAATAAGTGTGGTTAATTTGATGTGAAAAGTGAGGGTGAATTTGGTTTGAAAAGGGGTGAATTTGGTTTGAAAAAGGGTGAATTCAAAGTGAAAATGGTATATGTCAGGGGGGCCAAAAAAAGTCACTTTTCTTCATTGACTTTCGAGGCGCTATAAGTTACACTTTATTAAATTCTGATCGGACATTTTACCAGAGCATATTAAATACTATCATGACACTCCGCCACAGCCTTCTGGACGAGCGCCATCGAGAGATTCTGGCACGCGACCTGGTGCCTGAGATCAGCGAGATAGTCGATTTCTCCGCCACCGTAGACCACCCTATTGAACTCCGCCCGAACCGGGTAATTGAGGGGATTCAGGTCAGGTGACCTACTTGGATATTCCATCTTCTTTAGGTACTCAGCCCCCTTCCATTCCAAGTAGGCGAGTTTCTCCAACGCCCTTCGATTCCATGTGGTGGCACCCAATGCTGTAGCAGTACAAAGTTTCCAAGAAGGTACGGGCGACGACATGTGAGGAGGATATTCTTCACGAGTTGCTCGATGTAACCGCCAGCGCTCACCTTCAGTCCACGAAGAAAATATTGGTCTTTCCATTCCAGGTTCCGGTCCATACCATCAACCCGCGCCTTGGCGACTGTGGTGAAGATGATGTCCTAGACCGTGGCGACGTTGTCGGAGCTGCTCGATGTTGGAGGTCATCCAGATCGAGAGTACTGGTCTCCAGGTAGCTATCCATGGGTGACTCCATACTAGAAGTTTCGCAGCTGTTTGGAGGTGACATGAATTCCAAAGGTCTTCTCCAGTCAGGCTGCGACTGGAGATGACTTCATATTTTGGTGTACATGAAGGTGATGGGCGAGAGCCAGCTCCTGCTTATCGAGGAACATCTTGGGTATCTTCCGCCCTGGTACTCGTATCCAGGCTCCGTGTGAACACACCCGTGCGCGTATGCGGCGCGGTTTCTTCACGGCACTGCGGCGACGGGCGGGCGAAGGGTGATCGCGCCTCCGCCACTGTGCTTCAATCAGAAGCCCCTTTTATGCCCCATTATGTGGAAGGAGGAGGAGAGAAAAGAGGATTGAACAAATAGTGAACGCTCATAGGTGAGTTAGTGGTAATGGTGAGCAGAGAATACAGAAAAGTCGAGAATCAGAGCGTATTATTTCAGTCAACAGCGGAACTGGCAGAATGATTCCCTTCGAATGGGACGTGACGTTATAGCGTTATAAGGTCACAACCAACTGTTGGCAATTTGCCAAACCTCAGCTTGAACTTTCGTGTAAAAGCTGCTTGCGTCGTTTTCACAATCGAAGGGAACTATGCCGCCAGTTCTGCCATTCACTGAAGTAATTCGTGATAGTCGACTTTTCTGTGATCTCCTACCACTACCACTACTTACCTACTATCTCAATTCCCTTCGTCTTTCTACTTTCCCTCCTCTTCCTTCCACATAAAAGAGGCTGCTGGATTGGAGCACAGCGCCGGAGACGCGGGCCATCGCCTTTCGCTCCGCCCTGCCGCCGCGGCGCCGTGAAGAAACCGCGCCGCATACGCGCATGGGTGAGTTTTCCCTTTTCCGTCGTATCCACGTCTTCCCTCTGGGCAGCGAAAACTTTGCTGATATGTGACTCGGTCGAAATGACTTTTTTTGCCTCCCCCCTGTATATCCTAAAGGAATCGTCTCAACTCTCGTTAATGCTAAGATACTAGTGCACTTACTGCCAAAAACCTTGAGCTACTTCGCGGGACAGGAAGCTCTAAGAGTTGTCTATGGGAATGCTATGCGAATGCTCCGCTGTGTAGTCCTCGAAGTGTGGCTGTATATGCAAAATTGTGATAAAACTTACCACATAGGATAGCTGACGTATTCCTCCAATACTAGACTACATGACGTTACCACAGCTATTCTCTTCACTACAATGCTTTTCCCCATGTCGCAAGGTGACCCGTCAAAATATCAGGGAACTCGCCTAGGATGTACTATGCATGCTCTGCACCCTCCGGATCTGCTCTCTTCCGACTACCATTGGTGTTAAGCCTCAAAGAAGAACATTCGACGTGAGCAATTGGATACTAACGAACCCAAAACGAAGGTGACTCACTTCTTCGACCTTTGGCCTCCGGTTTTATGAACAGGCTGGGTTAACAAGTTGCCAGTAAGGCAGAAGTCGTCAAGAACAGAAGGGACATTATGACTCAAGGCGTATTTCAGTAAAAAATTAGTGTCATCTATTCGGGTCGCAAACTTCCGCTCATCCCGTTATTTTGAATAGAAAGAATATTGGCATAGGGTACAGAGCACAAAGTCTTACTTGATGTACACGATGCATCCGGTTGTTTTCAACTTTCATGACATGGATCCCAATGGTTACATAAGGATCTCTTTTCTTCACTCCTTCATTAATTTCACACTGCGTCAATGACAACATGAGTTCTCCCGGCTGAGATAGATTAAGAAGGTACTGAAACGTGTTTTTGAAACAAAGCAAGCAAAAATATGGACAATAACGAAACATATTCCTTGCACCTTACATGTCTCAAAAAAAAACAGATTGTCTAAGTAAGAAGTTCTCTGGAGGAGCCCACCTGTGGATTATTACAACATGTGGCAGAAAAATTCAGGCATCCACCAGCGAAATCATTTGGGGCCCCACTTCTTGCTCCATTTGTTGTCCACTCTCCATAAAATATTTCTTCGTGGTACCTTAGACAGAAGTGCATTTCTGCGACCTAGTCTGGGTACAAATGGCACCTGTGAAAATACTCCTTGCGTCTACCGTTGTCTAGTATACCGTCCCGGAGATATACTCCAGGATTTTTTCAGCCTGAGGATCAGTGGTGAGGATGGAAAGAAGGTTCGGTAGAAAAACTGTACCCTGTTGTCTCTGTTCCCATCCATAGGAAAAAGTCATGTACCAAATATTCTCGTCAGGGGAGATAACGTCCGGTTACCTGGGATTGCTACGGTCTGCGGTCATGACAGTGTTAATGGTGAACTTCGCTCGCTACTGGACCATTTTCAGCAACAAGCTGCGGAACCATTTCGTAGTAGTCCATGCAGTAAGTGAATTCTACACTCAGATGAGCTTCGATTATCGACAACGCGAAAGCGAAGTTCATTTCTCCTACTAGCTTTGAAGTGTAGTGCTCCGAAACCCAGAACGAGATACGTTGGTGGGTTTAAAGTATTTGAATGTAGAGGTCACGATATCAGAGGCAGGTGGTCCCTCTACAAGTATTAAAGCAAAGAAAACACCTTAATATGGTTCTATTTGAACCCGAATGTAATCCTTGTTTTATAGAAACAAATCTAAGTGTAGCAGTGAGGTCATTCGGCTAACGTTTACTTATCGTTGTCTCCGTCTTACAAGGGGGAAAGGCTGTCGGTAGGTCTTTTAGAATTTTCTCCGAAGAACATTGCCTAATAAAGAGACCTCTTATCTTTTTAGTACATCTGTTTGGATGTATGTCTGTTTGGGTTGTGCGTGTACATTTGTATATGTACGCAGTTAATCAAAAACACTGTAAGTCTGTATAATTCACTGCATTCAATCAGTTTGCTTCTTGACGTAACAACATATATTTATCAAAGTTTATGACATAACAACTTTTACGAAATTCAGTGAATATAAAATAATGAAATTATCACAGTAGAATGCGTCTTTCCACTTTTCCCTCAGTGATGAGCATAGAAGAAGAATGTAACAAATTGTTTGGTTTCCGCCTGAGGACACAACTGAGCGAATTCTTTGAATCACCCCCCCCCTCCCCTTAAAACTCATTGAAAGAAGATTTCAAAAAAAAGATAATAAAGATTTGACTTCTAATGTGACCTTCAAATCTGATTAACGATCCCGGGGAGAGTTATGGGCAATTCATCGTATGTGATGTTGGAGCACATCGCCTCATTTAATGCACACTTCATTCTCTTGAGAAACCAGCGGTTGTGTTCCATAGGCGGAGCTGATAGGCGAATAGGTTTTCAGGTCTAAAGAATGTTCTGCTTTTTCTTGAAACATGCGCTAGCGCTTGCAGTATGGTTTTCAAGGTTGGGTTGACCGTTTGCACCCATCTCCGACCCTTATTAAGCACCGGAAATTACTTTCGAAGGGGACTTCCATGTTGACGCACGCGGCTCGCGGCGTAGCGCAGCGCGTGCTGCAAGGGTTCTTGCACAAAATGAGAATGGTATTCGCATTCAGAGACGCAAATTACCCCTGGAAACCGACTGCTAGCCAAATCCGAGATTTTGACCTTGAAAAGAGCGGCGATAAGGGTGAGCCAACCAGTGATCCCAGGGTAGCTTACTCGTCAATGGCACTTTTTGGAATGGAACTAGCTTCTAATTACAATTAATGTTGGACGCGGCGGCGTAGCAAGTCTCCCGATCAGGCCCTCTAGCAACATCGGATTTCTGCCACTTGCTGAGACTATTGGAGGTAGATGGAGGACTCCTTCCAACACTAATGAGGAACCTTAAAAGAATTCAGCAGCTGCCTGTGAGTTCCTCACTTCGATAGTGCCACAGAACTTTTTCAAAGGTTTCTTTTGTGAAAAGTTCAACACTTATGAGTTATTCATTTAGCAATTGCTTGCCAACAGCATTTGCTGAAATTCCGTGATTCAGAAATTAACAAGGGAACCCCAACAGGTCGATCCGGCCTTTGCGAAGATGCATGTAACGTCTTGAGCCGCTGAATCCAAATCTGCCCTCGGAATTTGCGGAACGATTCTCTGAAGGGAGTTACGGACCATTTAATCTTTGCTATGTTTGCAAAAGTTGAGAACGGTACAGCACGCGACAGCGGCCGATAGTTAGTGGATAAGCGGTCTGCTTCAGAGACACGAGGCCGTATGTTGGAATCCTTGACTCTTGAAAACTTTTGCTTTTGTTCAAAACACTTGACATGAGCCCCCAAAAAACTTCTGTTTGGCCATTTTACCTAGTTCTTTGATTATTTGCCAACGGAAGGCGGCCGATTCTCCATTTCTGGTTCCTTTTGAAAACTTTTATTATGAGGATAACCGTTTCTAGAGCTTGCATCAAGGAATGAGGATCTTACGGTTCAAGAGCACATGTGGTATTCTTCCACGAAATGATAGAAACAATACAAGTTCTCACAATGAGCACAGCGAATGAAAAAAGTACTCTGCACACGGTACAGTTACAGTTCTCCACCAGTCCAGAGGGGAAGCAGTACTGAAGAGGTGTTTCGAACTCACCAGGATGTACATCGAAGTATCCAGCCGAGTACCAAGATTAGGATAAGCAGTTTTTGAAGCGTGTTATTTCACAGGAACGCGTGTTATTTTACAGGAACGGAAGTCCCTCAACAGATACGCCAGTACCAGCTTTGGGCAAAACATCTCGACAGAACAAGAAAGCAACCGCAATTTCTTTGTGCGGAATGCCACGTGTCGGTAGATCACAATCATGAGGGCTGATCATATCGGATAATTCTGCACAGATCACGTAGACAGAATATTGTTCATAATCGAAAACAAAATTTTAGTACTGCTTCCCCTGTGGACTGGTGGAGAACTGCAATTGTACCGTCTATGCAGAATACTTTTTCATTCGCTGTGCTCATTGTGAGAACTTGTATGTTTACATCACTTCATGGAAGTATATAACATGTGTTCCCAAACCGTAAGATCCTCATTCCTTGATGCAAACTCTAGAAACGGTTATCCTTACAGTAAAAGTGTTTCAAAAGGAACCAGAAATGGAGAATCGGCCGCCTTCCGTTGGCAAATAATCAAAGAACTAGGTAAAATGGCCAAACAGAAGTTTTTTGGGGGCTCATGTCAAGCGTTTTGAACAAAAGCAAAAGTTCTCAAGATTCAAGGATTCCGAGATGCGACTTCGTGTCTCTGAAGCAGTGCACTCATCCACGAGGCCATCGGCCGCTTAACACGTGCAGTTATTGTACTCAACTTGTGCAAACAGAGCAAAGATTAAATGGTCCGTAATTCCCTTCAGATCCGTTTACCGTTCCCATACTGAGGTATACCGCTTGCTCTTTGATGTAGACCTGACCTATCGGGAGAACTGCAGACTCCCATGGAGGTCCAAAGTGAACTGATAACAAAGCAAAACTTAGAAGGCTCAAAATGGCAACCTAATGTTATAGGAGGAGCATGGAATCAGTGAGCTTTCCCTTTCCTATTTAGATATGAGGCCATGAAGTTTTGAGGATGATCCCTTTCATATATAGTGCGCTAAGTTTATTTGCTTGTTTTTCTGCCAATTTGTTCACTTGTTTGTTTTTCCGGAAAATCGGTCCCATCTGAAGAGCAACAGGTGAGGTCGTATGAAGATTGGTGTGCGTAAGGCTGGAACAAGGTTACAGAGCAACGCGACCTATGCTAGGCCGCCCACCAGGCGCGGCATGCGCTGGGGGTTAGCGGTGTCATAGACAAATTCACAGTTCGGTCCAGAGCAGCACAGAGATGTGAAAAAGTTGTCAGGCTAGCATAAGGTTGACAGACTATATGGTGGAGACACATCGGAAGTGAGGGAGGTGTGCATGGGATGAACGGTGCTTCCCACAAAATTCTGTAATTTGGTCCTCGAATGAGTTTGGTGAACGCTAAGAATCGATGGGGAAGAGGAACACTGGAAAGAGTTGAGCGTGTTGGTGTGCTTTGACGTGCCTTCACTGGGCGGAGCGCGCCCTTGAGCATGAGGTACTCAGTTAAAAAAAACACTCTGGAAACACGAGAAAAACGGTTCAAGGTGAGCAAGGGGCCCGCAACTGAAAAGAGAGAGAGACATACTCGCTGTGGGCGTTGCTTGCGCCGAGGTGGATGAGGCAAGGGTCCAGCATCCGTGTTTTTCTCCGGCCTGGAGACCGGAAAGTGAGTGGCAGTGAGCAGTGAGGAGATAGGCGGGCAACACACCCGCCGCTAGGGGAGTCAAAAGCTCATTGCTTGGTTCCACAGTCCACCAGTTAGAAACAGTCCATTCCATTCATCTTACTGACCTTCATCACCGCTTCCATTCCTGATTGCTCTAAAAACACATGATAACAATCGGCTCTTTCTGTGGTCTGGCTTGACCGGGCAGACGCGGCTTCTGCGCACCGCATCCTGTCTTGCGTTGTGTTAGAATACGCGGTTAAGGTATGGTTTAGTAGAGCTCAAAAGTATTCGGCCAAACGCTTTTCGCCCATAACTTTTTTCATCCAACCACATTCATTTCAAATTTTAGTATGTTATACCTACACTGTTATCAATGAATAACAGTAGTTGCCTTCGAACATGATGCACGGGCTGCAACTTTTTTTTGCTAACGACTAACTTCAGTGTCCACAAGGCCACCATAGTGTCACATTTTTTCGAGTTTTGTGAAGTTCCACGACAATATAGGCGCCAAAACTACCTTCTACTCGTTGCAGTGACTTGGAAGAGGACTGGAACCTCGAACCCGAAATAATCTGCCAAGAGTGAAAAATGTCGACATACCGATGTGCTTTTCCCAATTTTTTGAAAGTTCCTAGACGCTCAGTGCCATCGTGGTCACAACTTCAAAACGTAGTCAACTTTTGGAAGACTGCTGGAGCGTATTCGAGATCCATTCCTCAGGATAAAAGCATCTACTACCGCTTGCAGGCTGATTCCTAGTCCACTTGCGTCGACTTCGCAG